GTTTGATGATATTGTGGTAGCAATTGAACATCCCAAAGATTTGAGCACAATGAGAGTTGAAGAGCTGCAAAGTAGTTTAGAGGCGCATGAGTTGCGTATGACTGCGAGAACTTCTGAGGGGGAAGTAGAGCAGCAGGCTCTGAAAGCAACTTTTGATAAGAAACGTTGGAAGCAGACTTGGTCAGAAGCCAGGAAGAAAACTAATGGTGGTCAAAGGTTAGAAGCTTCAAACTATGATAGGCAGAAGAATGTCCAGAAGGTAAAGGGGAAGTCTGACAAGAAGAATGTTCAGTGTTAGTGTTGCAAGAACTTTGATCACTATGCAAAAGATTGCTAGTCAAACAAAGAAGAAGCAAAAATAACCAGAAGAGATTCAGATGATGAACATGTGCTATTTATGGCTTATAAATCTGATGAGGAACCGGTAAAATTGTCATTTTCTGATTTTGAAGGGGAAGAATATGACTATGGATATTCTGATTATGAAGTGTTTGAATACGAGTCAGAATCAGAAGACGATGCTGAAGATTTTGAAGACAAGTCAGAATCCGAAGAAGATTCTGATTCTGAAGAGTCAAAAGATGATGACTCTAGAAACTCTGAAGGTGAGTCAGATGGTGAATCTGATTCTGATCCAAATTTTGATGATGATCCAGAATTTGGTGGTGACCATGCTTCTGAAAGAGAAAACTCTAAAGACGTAGGTTCTGGAGGACAAACTTCTAAAGATGATCAAGTTTATGATGGAAATCATGACTCTAAGGATGGACCTTATAAAGGAGGAGCTTCTAAGGAAAATTTAGTCTTTGGCGGTGATCATGATTCTGAAAGTGGGACTTCTGAAGACAGAGTTTCTAAAAGTGATCCAATTTTTGAAGATGGTATTTCTGAAGGTAGTGGTTCTGAACGATGTCCAGAAGCTAACAAAGGTGGAGCTTATAGTGGTAGTCAAACTTCTGAAGAAAGTTCATAAGGAGATATTGTTCTAGAATCAGAAGGTGATTCTGAACAAGTTTAGAGGCCACATAGAGTCAGAAATATATCAAGAAGATTTGCAGAGTTTGACATGTTGTAAGACACTGAAGTAGGCTCTGAAGGAGAAGTTATTCAGTGTGTAATGTTAGTAGACTCTGAACCCATGAGTACGGAAGAGGCTCTTAAGCAACAAGTTTGGTTACAGGCCATGAAAGAAGAACTTGATGCTATAGAGAGAAACAAGACTTGGAAGTTGACAGAACTTCCAAAAGGCAAGAAAACCATTAGCGTCAGATGGGTTTTCAAGCAGAAGATAAAGCCATATGGATCAATTGGCAAACACAAAGCAAGATTAGTAGCAAGAGGTTTTTTACAGAAGTATGGGTTGGATTACTTTGAAGTGTTTGCACTTGTAGCGAGACATGAAACAATCAGACTAATGATTGCAATAGCTGCTAACAAGAATTGGCCTCTGATGCATTTAGATGTAAAATATGCATTTCTGAATGGTCTATTACAAGAAGAGGTGTACGTTTCACAACCTCCTGGATTTGAGAAAAAGAATCAGGAAGGGATGGTGTTCAAATTATACAAAGCGTTGTATGGATTGAAGCAAGCGCCCAAAGCTTGGAATTTGAAGATTGATTAGTTTTTCAAGGAACAAGGGTTTCAGAAGTGTGAGATGGAGTATGTTGTTTATGTTCAGCACACTTCAGAAGGTAATATAATTCTGGTCTATTTGTATGTTGATGACATATTACTCACAGGAAGTTCTAAACAAGAGATAACTGAGTTCAAGAAAGTTCTGATGAATGCATTTCAGATGACAGATCTTGGAAAAATGAGTTTCTTTCTAGGGATGAAATTTATGTACTCTGAGAAAGGAATCATTTTGCATCGGATGAAGTATGAACTAGAGCTTCTGAAGAGATTTGAGCTAGAAAATTGCAAAGTTTCTATCACACCTGCTGATACAAATCAGAAGTTGGACTCTGATTCTGATGGAGAGGATGTGGATGCTACAACCTTCAAACAAATGGTTGGTTCTCTAAGGTATTTGTATAATACCAGACCTGATATTTGATATGCAGTTGGAATGGTTAGAAGATTTATGAGCAAACCAAAGTGGTCTCATTACTAAGCTGTAGTCAGGATTCTGAGGTATGTGAAGGGAGCTCTGAAATATGGAGTGTTATTTCCGTCTGGAAGAAAGATCGAACCAGAACTTCTGAGTTATTCTGATTCTAATTGGTGGAAGATAGAGTTGACAGAAGAAGTATTTCTGGATACTTATTCAAATTTCTGGGAGGTCTTATTTCTCGGTGTTCCAAGAAATAACATGGTGCTGCACTGTCAACTTGTGAAGTTGAATATATTGCAAGAGCTCTGACTGCATGTCAAGCTGTATGGATTCTGAACTTGCTGAAAGATCTGAAGATTGAGGTAAATAAACCTTTGAAGCTGATGATTGATAACAAGTCTGCAATCAATCTTGCCAAGAATCCAGTGTTGCATGGGAGAAGCAAGCATATTGAGACCAAGTATCATTTTCTTAGGAATCAAGTTCAGAATGGAATATTAGAAGTTGTGCACTGTAACACCCAGAAGCAGCTGGCAGATGTTCTGACAAAAGCTATCAAAACTGATCAATTTCTTGGTTTAAGGGATGAAATTGACGTTGTCAATTTTGGGTAAATATAAATTAAGGGATGGTGTTAGAATTAATTTAGATTTTATAATTAATTAGATATTAATTTATATTTAGGAATATCTTTTAGATTGTTTATATCTTTGTTAGAAGATATATATCTTAGATCTTCTTATATCTTTGTTAGAAGATATATTTTAGATTTAATTTTGTGTATAAATAGCCTAGTGGAGTAGGTTATTGTAATTCATTGTAAATCCTTATTTTGAAGTTGTTAGTAAATATTCCTTTTGCCTTTTATCTTCATTGTGCACCAACAAAAGGCAGGTGGTTTTCATAATCTCTAATTTGATGGAAAGGCCATGTGAGAGCACATATATCGAATCAAAACCTTATCACAATATTGGTTTAATTAAAAAATATAACACAAACCTGCAGAATCTCCATTTGAGTAATTATGTGATCTTCCATTATAAAACCATGATGGCAGTATGCTGCCACTCATCCAAAGCTTATCCACAATCAAGTCATACATTCATGATAATTGAAATATCCTTGTTTTCATTTTCATCAACAAAATTGAACTATTAATTAAAATTGAAAACAAAAACTAAAAAGCACTGGTTTCATTCACAGAGAAAACATTTAAGAAGATCACAAAAAAGGTCAAAACACGACATATCTCAAACTGCAGAGAAATCCTTACTAAACTAAAACAACAATAATCAAAGATAATAGACAATACTAACCGAAGTTGCTTCAACAACTTATTTTGAGCTTATTTCCAACAACTATTTTCAGCTTATTTCTAGAATGCATTTTAGATTCTAAACTATATATGTTCTATATTAAATATATAACTAATGTTTGTAATACTTAATAATGCATATCAAATTATCTGTATTGAAAGGAAACTTGTTTAAGGAAGCCATTTTGATGAATATAAATGAACAATCATCCTTGACATCTGAAAAATTTAAAAACAACAAAAAGATAAAGATAGAAAAAACAGACAGATTCTCGTTCATGGACAAAAAAGAACTGGGATGAAATTTAGTGATGAAGAAGAAGTAAGCATAAGTGTGACCGAAAACAGAACATACTTTTAGGGATTTCGTTATTACCGTATAATCAAAGACATTGTGGAAATTGTAACTCTGACATCAGAAGATGAAGATAGTATGGAATCCAAGATATCCCAAAATCCAGGCTCTCCATCTGCAGCTCCAAATTAAAGCTTATTTAGGTTCTTGATGGCAACATCTAGGTCACATTCACTTTCTTGGATAGCTCTCTCAAGAACTTGAAAAGTCAAACATCAATACAATAACAAAACATTCTTACATTGAACATCAATACAGTGAAGATCGAAGACAAACCCTCTTCGAATCTGACATCAGTTATGACACTAATAACCTGACAGACGTGTCCGATCGCTCCCTTACCAGTGCACTCATAGGTGATTTTCACTATGCCATAAATAACCTACGAAAGCGCTTTTTTTGGGCTTTAAAAGCGCTTAAAAGCGCTCTCGTAGGTGGCGCTGCTAAAGGTTTTAGCAGCGCTTTTTGTTCAGAAAAAAGCGCTCTCGTAGGCCTACCTATGAAAGCGCTTTTTTCTTAAAAGCGCTTTCATAGGTAGGCCTACGAGAGCGCTTTTTTTTTGAAAAAGCGCTTTCATAGGTGTATTCAGAATGCGTATAAAGTAGGCCTATAAGAGCGCTTTTTGTTCAGCTAAAAGCGCTCTCGTAGGCCTACCTATGAAAGCGCTTTTTTCTTAAAAGCGCTTTCATAGGTAGGCCTACGAGAGCGCTTTTTTCTGAAAAAGCGCTCTCATAGGTGTATTCAGAATGCGTATAAAGTAGGCCTATAAGAGCGCTTTTTGTTCAGCTAAAAGCGCTCTCGTATGCCTACCTATGAGAGCGCTTTTAAGAAAAAAGCGCTTTCATAGGTTTTCTACTGAAAAATCTAAAATTTAAAAAATTTCTAAACCTGCATTTTTTTGCAGCAAACCTGTAATTCTTAAACCGGTATTTTACAATCTAATCTAGAAATACCAATATATATTAGTTTTAATCCAAATGCCAAATGTAATTCAAATACCAAATATTATATATATATATAAAAATACCATTATAATCAATTCATATCCAAAATATATATACACCATGGTAATTCAATATTAACATGTTTTTAAACGTAACAAAATACACCCTAAGAAATCAGCTATATAACACTAAGTAAATCAATCCTAATCTACATATATATCCAAGGTCCTGATCCTGCAATATGAACATAATAACACGGTCAGTGTTGTATACACAAAACAATATATTCATAATTAACCAATTTTCACACAACAATGTATTCGTACCTTATTATAAGATTCTTAGCTCAATAAAATATTGGCACAACTCCTCTTTGAGTTCTTCCAATTGACGTGGCGAGTAATATGGACAATTGTATTGATCAAAATACTACATTACAAAACAAAATATATGCGTGATTTAGTTTAATGTAATAAATTATATGCAAAATCCGATAAGTAATAAAACAAAGTATAAATCCATACCGTGATTGGAATCTCGATTTCATACATTTGAATGATTTCTTTGATAAACATCAAAACGAAGTATCCGCAATCTATGCCGTTTTGTTGTTGAGGGCACTACATAGAAAAACAAATAAGATTATACACATCTATTGATTTATCAAGTAGCATAAATATTATAAGCAAAATTGTTGAAATTTATATACCTGTACTTTGATCCAATTAATGTTGTTTGATCTAGACCGTGGTACTCGTGCTCCCCTTTGACATCGGAATACTTGTATTGAACTGATGACAAAATTAAAATATTTATTTAGAACAATGACATTGAAATAATTAAATATATAAACACAAACGAATATTTAGAATAATGTCACTTACGTATCAATCACTAGCTTCATTTCCGGATAATTTGTCCAATCACCGTCAACCGAATTCAGGTAATAGACCACTTCTTTTATGGGATTGATTGCAAGCAACAACCAGTGACATCTATAAATTAAAGCAACAATTTAGAAGCGAATTTTAATGTAAAAAATACAAATATTAAAAGGAGCTTAGAATAAAAATCTAACCCTGTATTATAAGGCAAAAGATACAAGCTCTTTGTACTGGCAGTTGTCCTGAATCTTTCGACCAAGTGTTCTCTTACTGAATCAGGTTCCCTAGAAATTGTTGCTCCGCTAACACGGGAGGAAGACACGAAACGGAATCTATTTGACAATTGATTCCCGCGCATCAATTTGTCAAATAACATCCTTAAATAAAAACATAATTAATATTAGACTATTTCAATTAAATGTTTAAAAAAATGTTCAACCAATTAAATAATATATTGATCGGGTTACCGGATGTACGAGTGCATCACACTGATGCCTAACTCTCGATGATGAAAGATTTGTTCCATGTCCTCTAATCCAATTGTTTCGGTACATGGAAAACCAAAGACAATTTCATCCACATCGATTTGACGAATTCCATCATTCATCAAATCTGATGTGCCAACTAGTGTCTCCAGACACTGTCGATACCTAGGCACAAATTTACGGACAGGAACCTTCTTCTTAGGTGGAACCCTACTACCTTTCTGGCTCACATGCTGTGACTGATCTTGAGAAGGTACCTTAAAAATCATATAGAATTATGTAAGATACAAAGTTATGCAGTTTTTTATTCCGATCATAAATGAAACACTATAAAAGTACCTGTCTTTGCGATGCAATAGACTCGCCGCGCTGCAAAATCCCTTTATCCTTAGATGCGGGTTTTGCAGGAGTCTAAAATTACCATGTATAAAATTCAGGTCAGAACTGTCAGTTGAATACTTAAAGATTCATAATGGTTTTCAACATACCTGATCATCTATGCAGATGAGGTCTGATGGCCATGCCACAAAAGATCCTACTGCATCTCGCAGCAATGTGGTCTCCGCAACAATGTCAGGTACCGGTAGCAATGCATTCATATCTAAAACAACATCAACCGATACCTTCACGTGGCCATCCGGGAGCGGTCTATGGTGAATTAAATCTCCCGAGGTGTTGTGCACTTTTCCCTTGCCAACTACCCGATAAGTCGAAGAAGCTAGATACAACTGACAACATGAAATGCCCTAAACCAATAATAACCGTTAGACTTCCTTTAATGTTGACAATAATAACCGTTATAATTATACTTTCTCTAAATATAATGGATTATCATCTTAATTACCTCGGGAAAATTTTTTTGACGGTTGATACTAGCCTTGTCACTAGTTTCTTTCAACTGTGAACTGCTCCTTTCGGCCATATACCTCTCTTTGTCCCTCTGCAGTTCACGGACTTGTGCTTGTAAATCCTGCAATGTTTGCATCACTTCCGCATTGCTAGGATTTATTTTTCTTGGATTGTTATACAGAGAGGTAGGAGTCACACCATGGCCTTTACCCCTCACTCATCCCGGATACTCAGCAACACATAGTGCTCGACTGAGTACGCTCCTGATATTCGAGTCATCACCCGAGGATACCGATTGCGATATAGTCTCCTGTAATTCATTTAAATATCGATAATTAAAGACACAACGTTAATTATATATTAATTAAATACATAATGGTATACTTACACACCCATCATAAATATGTTGCAGATCGGGGTTAACAACTTTATCTCTGCCAACACGAGCTTCCTTCCACAGCACATGTGCAGGTAGTGATGTTTCGTCACTCTGCGTCTCCTCCAACTACGCATTGTTACAAATAATAAAATCATCAATACACATTGTTACAAATTAATAATACACATTGAGATAATTAATAAGATCGTAGAATTGAGATTTACTTACAATTTTTTCCTGTAAGCGTGCATATCCCAAACGACCTTTTTTATATGGATATGCGGGTTTTGACGCTCTATCCCGATTTACAGCACTCACTTCCTTGAAATTATCGTCTTTTCTTTGGCCCACAAAAGCAACCCATTCTTCGGGTGTAATGAAGCTCTCATATTTTTTTGGTCGTTCAGGTTCCTCTTCAACAAAATTTCCTTCATCGTCTTTAAGAAACTTATTTGTCAAAAAATTTCTCCACCCTCTATGTCTTTTTCCGGCCAAGCCCATTATATACTTTTTGCGGGCATCTTCAATGTTAAAAGACCTCTACAAAAAAACATACGCATAGAGGGTGTTAGTATATGTAATTTAAAAACAATATTTTCGTCAAAATAAAGCAAATAACAACAACCATATATGATACCTTTATCTCGGTCCAAATTCTTTCTTTAGCATCCAACTCTCCTTTTTTCCAGCTAGTAGTGGTGATCGGAATGTGCATACGAACAAGCGTACCGATGTAGCTTGTCAGCTTTGCAGAATTAGGCCCAATTAGTTGGTCATCATTATTCCAATCTACATTATACGTAATACCTCTATCTCTATCACGGATGATTCCCCGCATGATAGTTATGCCTCGTGTGATGTCCTTATCTGAAGTGTCTTGTGGAACATTATCTTGTGGAACATCTCCTTGAGGAACATTTTCTGAATTATCTTGTGGAACATCTCCTTGTGGAACATCGTGATACATTTTCTGTCAAAACGCAAAGTATACACGGAATGAATTAAATAGAATGTTATTCAATATTTCGGACAATGGATTAAATAGAATGAAAAGATGGATACTATTAAATTTATGATTAAATAGTTTCGAACTGATAAAGAATAAAAAAGAAATATACCTACATCAAAACATAAATAAAACAATCCTAAATATTTCAAAAAACTAAGATGTCAGATAACAAATTTTCAGTCAAAACGCAAAGTATACACGGAATGAATCCGTATCAAGAAAATGCAACATACGAAAGACAATTTAAGACAAATTCATCACAATATATACCAGTAATTTGAGGAAGAAAGTTACCTCTCAGATGTTTCGAACTCTAAGAAACGTGGAGAATGAGCGTCGTACGTCGAACTAGGCCGGGAAACGCTGCAAATTCATAGAATGTTATTCAATATTTCGGACAATGGATTAAATAGAATGAAAAGATGGATACTATTAAATTTATGATTAAATAGTTACGAACTGATAAAGAATGAAAAAGAAATATACCTACATCAAAACATAAATAAAACAATCCTAAATATTTCAAAAAACTAAGATGTCAGATAACAAATTTTCAGTCAAAACGCAAAGTATACACGGAATGAATCCGTATCAAGAAAATGCAACATACGAAAGACAATTTAAGACAAATTCATCACAATATATACCAGTAATTTGAGGAAGAAAGTTACCTCTCAGATGTTTCGAACTCTAAGAAACGCGGAGAATGAGCGTCGTACGTCGAAACATAAATAAAATTCCATAAAGCAAAGATGTCAGATAACAAATATTTCATAAAATTCCGTAAAGCAAAAAAATGAAATGACGTATATTTAAATTTTACTGGATGATATAGGCTATATATATTATACTATAATGAAAAAAATGAAATGATATAGGCAATATATATTATACTATAATGAAAAAAATGAAATGATATAGGCTATATATATTATACTATAATGAAAAAAATGAAATGATATAGGCTATATATATTATACTATAATGAAAAAAATGAAATGACATATATATACATTTTATTGAATGACATTGTCTATAATTATATATACTATTACCTTTTTCACTAACATCTCTTTCTTTTCTTGGTAGGAATATGTTCTACTCGTCTCGTAACAACGCGGACGATTGGATTGATCCAAATACCCTCATTATGATCATTTCTAATGCATGATTCATTATCATTTTGATCATTTCTGGTAAAAGATTCAATGTCAACACCAGTATCGCCTTGGTCTCCAACCTTTTCATCAATTACTTTGTTAGAGAAAAGCACTATAGACCATTTCGTACTTGTCGGATCAGTGACATAGAACACTTGTTTAGCTTGAGAGGCTAGAATGAAAGGCTCATCTTTGTACCCTGCCCTGTTAAGATCAACTTGCAAAAATCCTGACTTATCCATCCGTATACCATTATTATTTTCAACCCACTTGCAACCGAATATAGGAATCTGAAATTTCTCGTAATCAAAGACCCAAATGCGCTCGATAACCCCAAAATACGACAGATTTGCAAATTTCGGGTTTAAGTCCTTCACACTAGATATGTGCATTGCTTCAGCTACCAAGGTGACACCACTATTTTGCACAGTACTTTTATCATCTTGTTCTTTGGTATAAAATGTGTATCCATTAATTGCGTATGCGCTATAAGAAAACGCAACCAAACTTGAACCATATGCTAAACATCTCAACCTTTCTGTCACTGAGGCGGAATCTGAACGATACTTTGAATAAATATGTTCCTTAAACCATGGTATGAAACTTCGATTGTGCTCTCGTACAATCCAATTCTTATTTCTATTCGAATTTAAACCTCGAAGAACACCCTTGTGTATATCGACATACGGCTCAACCTCAATCTCATTGTGCAAAACATACAAATGCACTTGATCCCGTTCGACCCTTGATACTGTCACAACTTTATTTCCAATTAGCTTCTTACCTTCTTTTTTTTCAACAACATGAGATTTGGGGAGTCCAATTGACTGAACATTTGACAGATATTCAGTACAAAACTCAACCGCTTCTTCAACAATGTATCTTTCGGCAATACAACCCTCTGGTCGACTCCGATTTTTCACATACCCTTTTAATATTTTCATATAACGTTCAGCAGAGTACATCCATCTCATATAAGCTGGTCCACGCAATTGTGTCTCTTTCACAAGATGAACGACAAGATGAACCATTATGTCAAAAAACGAGGGAGGAAAATACATTTCAAGCTCACACAAAGTAACAACTATTTCTTTTTGCAATGTTGGCAAGATCTCAGGATCGATCACCTTACTGCAAATTGACTTGAAGAAAAAACACAATTTAGTTATTGCGCTTCTTACCTTTTCTGGAAGAATAGAACGTATACCTATCGGTAGAAAATGTTCCATTATAACATGGCAATCATGCGTCTTTAAACTCTTTAACTTGAGGTCTTTCATAGACACAAGTCTTCTAATATCTGATGAGTAGCCTTCTGGAACTTTAACTTCACTCAGAAACTTACACAATATTTTTTTCTCCTTTCTAGATAGAGTGTAAACAGCAGGTGGTAGGTATGTCCGTCTTCCTTTCTTCACGGGTCCCAGTTCAGTTCTTATTCCCATGTCTACCAAGTCCTCCCTTGATTTAAGGTCATCCTTAGACTTCCCTTTTATATTAAGTAACATACCAATAACATTGTCAAATACATTTTTTTAATATGCATCACATCAAGAAAATGTCTTACGTACAAAGATTTCCAATATGGCAATTCAAAAAAAAATCGACCTCTTCTTCCACCCACCTGTGACAACTTTATGTGCAAAAGGCTTGCCAAACTGAATATTCACATCTTTCACCTTTTCAAAAATTTGTTCACCTGTCAAACCAGGCGGAGCTCTACGTTGTTCGGTATCTCTGTTGAACGCTTTTCTCCATCCACGATACTGATGTTTAGAAGTTAAGAATCTATGATGACCGAGAAAGACATTCTTCTGACAAAGTTTCAATCGCATGGTATCGGTTCCGTCTTCACAAACAGGACGCGCTTTTTCACCTTTAATGCTATACCCGGATAGATTGCCGTATGCTGGAAAATCGTTAATTGTTCCAAACAACATCGCCCTCAAGTTGAAACTTTCTTTCCTATAACCATCATAAACCTCCACACCGTTCTCCCACAAAATCTTCAAATCTTCGATTAATGGTTCCAAGTATACGTCTATGTCATTTCCTGGTTGTTTAGGCCCAGAAATTAACATAGACAGCATCATGTACTTACGCTTCATACATAGCCATGGAGGTAGGTTATAAATCATAAGAATCACAGGCCATGTGCTATGCGAGATACTTTGAATACCGTGTGGGTTCATTCCATCAGTAGACAATGCCAAGCGAAGGTTTCTTGCTTCTTTTCCAAATTCAGGATAATCATTATCAATTTTCATCCACTGTGGAGAATCTGCCAGATGTCGAAATTTTCCATCAATAATTCTTTCATCTGAATGCCAAGTCAATTGTCTTGAATCGGTTTCACTACGATACATCCGTCTAAATCTCGGGATTATAGGAAAATACCATAAGACTTTTGCCGGAGACAACTTTTTCTTATATCGAGGGGCACCGCATTTAGGACACTCATTTAACGATGCATACTCGTTTCGAAACAAAACGCAATCTTTTGGACACGCATGTATCTTATCATAGCTCATGCCAATGGAGTACAACATCTTTTTGGCCTCATACGTTCGATTGGGAAGAACATTATCCTCTGGTAGCATATCTTTCATAAGGGCTAATAACTCTGTGAAACTTTTATCCGACCATCCATTGCCGGCTTTTAAGTTGTACAACTTTAACACCGCAGACAATCTTGTGAATTTTGTACAACCATTATACAACGGTTTCTCTGCATCGCTTACCAACCTCTCGAACATTTTGGGACAATCGTTAAGATCTTCTTCAAGCGCTTCTGTAATTTCTTCGACTCGATCATAATCGTATGCATCTGTGCAATCATCATTTGAAACATAGGTCCTTGCATACCCCGATTCAACATTCCCGTTACTTTTCTCACCATGCATATTCCAACATGTATAACTCCTATCAATTCCATACCGAATTAAATGCGATGCCAACTGAACTGCGTCAACCCGGTTCCCATAACAGCAATACAAACAGGGACATGTCATACGACTGGGGTCTTTGGCGTGCGCAACAACAAACTTAACAAACTCGGAAACACCATTCTCGTAGTCTTTCGACAATCGATTGGAATACATCCATGTCTTATCCATATCAACTAATTAGTGCACAAAACAGTAGTATACTGCGTTTCTGTCAAAACGCAAAGTATACACGGAATGAATCCGTATCAAGAAAATGCAACATACGAAAGACAATTTAAGACAAATTCATCACAATATATACCAGTAATTTGAGGAAGAAAGTTACCTCTCAGATGTTTCGAACTCTAAGAAACGCGGAGAATGAGCGTCGTACGTCGAACTAGGCCGGGAAACGCTGCAATTTCATAGAATGTTATTCAATATTTCGGATCGATTGTCGAAAGATATATACTATTTTAACATAAAGGTTCACAATAAATGTCACATATATATTTTCAATGTTTGGGAAAGCTATGACAATAATACAACACAAATATTAGAAATAGTGAATTCACAAAGTCAACATAAGGTTGATGCGATGAACTGATACTATTAAATAAATGCTTCACACGATTCACCATATTTTTAGTAACAAGTTCATATATCACATTGCATATGGAAATAGGATGAAATGGTTTAAGATACTCAGACTATAAATGGGGCAGCATTGTTATCATAACACAAGTTAATCAGAAGTTGCTAACGGAAACAAGAAAATTAAGCATTAACATTCACGAAAGATTCAATTAAATGCGGATAAATGTCAAACGGAAAATTAAGGCGAAATATGTACATGGAACCAAGTCCGGACAACATATTTTATTCACAAAAACGCACATAAAATTAGTTCTGAAATCAATTGAAATGGTACTGGTGTTTGACAATTACCAAAACAAACTATTCTAAACGATTAGAAATAATTAATTGAACAATTTTCATGGTCTTCTAATACCGGACAACCTTATACCTCAATAAAGAGTGGCTTGAAAAACCTCAACAAAAACGGTGTAACTCAATCGCATTAATCCACAAACGTAACAAAATGCAAGAATAGGCATCAAACAATTTTAAAGTTCAATTGACAAGGTATTCAAGAGTTCCGGTATAATTCGACATCCAAAAGTTATCAACAAAATTTATCCGGATTCAACATCAAATTCACCAATTCACCAAGAAATCAAGACTTATGCATATTCAATAATTCAAATATATCATGAATTTTCAAGAACAAAGTTCAACACAATTCAAGAATCATATAATTGTTTAACAAGTCAACTTCAAGAATCACACCCCAATATTCAATTCAATGTCTTAATATATAAACTCACATGCTTTTATCCAAAGTCGGTGTTTTAAGCTTTTATACAAAATCGGTGTTTTAAGCAAACTCTAATGCTTTTACTTAAAATTTGTCTTTCTATAGTAAAATAGAGGAGCTAGTAACCAATCTGAACCGTCCAAATCTAATAATTAATTCTATGGTTAACTGGAACTAAACCTTGGCTGTGGAAGCAACATTTACCATCCATCCTTAAACATTACTCATAATCAATACTGGAAGAAAAGCTAGCCCAAAACTCCCAAGAACACAATAATGAATTTCATTGAACCAATTTAAGGCGAAACAGAAATGTAGGTTAAGCTTGTTCAAGATGTAGGTTTTTGTTTAATATAAGATGAACAGATAATGGAAGAAGATAATGGAAGAAGAAGAAACTTACCAAGATGGAGAAGACGGAACGAACGGCGGCGACGACTAAAGAAGACGGAACGAACGGCGGCGACGGCAGAAATGAAGAAGACGAAGAAATGAAGAAGACTGAACGAACGAATTTACCAAGTGAGGGCAAATATCAGATTTAGGGATTTTTAATTTAATTATAAAAACAACCTACGAATGCGCTTTTAAAAGCGCTTTCGTATGCCCCCCATATGAGAGCGCTTATGAGGTAAAAAGCGCTTTCGTATGCCCCCCATATAAGAGCGCTTTAGAAAGCGCTTTCGTAGGTCCCCCTTTCAGAGCGCTTTTCAAAAGCGCTTTTATAGGGCCACCTATAAGAGCGCTTTTCAAAAGCGCTTTCGTAGGTTAGATATTTCAAATGCCTATGAAAGCGCTTTCTGAAAAGCGCTTTCGTAGGAAACCCTATAAAAGCGCTTTTTTTAAGCGAATTTTTTTTAAAGGCTACGAAAGCGCTTTCTCTTAAAAGCGCTTTCGTAGATGCGCTGCCAAAAATTGTTTTTTTTGTAGTGTTTACCACCTCCAGGAACCTCCTTTATCACTGGAGGCGAAGATGGAGGAGTGGTAGCAACTGCGGCAGAAGTGGCATAATCAACAACACAATTAAAAAGGTAGCCGCAAGAAGAGGCACGCCATTGAGAAGTGAAAAATCAAGTTTTCATTGAATGCATTGAGGCAAGTGAAATATAATTTAAGAGTGAGTCTATTTAAATCCCCAAAGGCACATGATTTTGATTTGTAAGTTTGGTTATGATCGTTGATTTTCCATTGAATGCATTGAGGATAAAGAAAATTAATTTTCAATTGAAAAATAAAAAGTGGCTTTTTAATTTCTGTAGTATTCTCAATACATTAAAATATTAGATATTTAAAGAAAGAAAAAAATAGGAAGGAAAATTGGGAGAGTGACACATCAACAACAATAAATACCAAATTAATATAAGTGAAGGAAACATGGAATAAGACATTTGTAACCCTGGAATCAAAAAAGTTTAAACTTAAACTCAGAAGGGTATTAGTGGATTTTCCAAGTACTTTAACTTTTATATATTTATATTAAATTTATAATAATAGAAATAAAGTGTTGGAAGAAGTTGGAGAGAGAGAGAGAGAGTGGTATATATAATTGCAATTTCTCTTTCCATCCTATAGTAAATAAAGAAAAATCCTATGAATTTCTTAAAATGTTTTTGGAAACCGGATATATATTTCCGGTGCACACCATACACTACACACAAAGAGACTAAATATAGTTCCACACTATTTAAAAGAGAAGAACGAAATCAAAAATATATTTTCGACTGCATTCGATATTCTATTTTTGATTTGTGTAGCGGCAATATTGAATTTTCTGCCACCTTATCAAATTTATACATTATCGGAAATATATTTCTGGTATTATAAAAAAATATAAATTGCTTAAAACAACAATCAGCATGTTGAAGGATGATCATTCTCATTCTTCTTCCTTTTATAAACCTTTTTAAAAATCCTTCTATTCTCAATCCATTTTTTCACTCCAAATCTTTATTCTTGTGGTTCATCATATCAAAAGGGACTCAAGGAAGTGAAATTTCAGGTAAAATTTATTTATTTCAATCCTCATTCTTCACATTAATTTGATTTTCATCCTGCTAAAGTTACGCTATAACCGAAAATATATTTCCGGTTAGTAGTCGAATAATACCAAAAATGTATTTTCGATTTCTGTGAGTGCTTAATTTTCCAGCAATTGTGTGTTAATTAGTTTAATTTTTTTATCACATTAGGTATGGTGGTGCATTTAGATAACATTCTCAAACCTGGTGTCTCTCAAGTTATTTCACCTTTCGTATCTCCTCTCGTAACTAAAATGGTAGATATTCGTGACCATTTTAAAATTGAAGAGTTTGAATTTCATAAAGACATATTACGACGAGAACAAATTAATACAAATTTGCAAAGTAACCGAAGATTTTTACCAAGTTCTAAGACTCTGTTTGATAAGACCTAAAAAAAAGTTTTTTAGCTTTTACATTTTTAGCTCGTATTAATGACAAAATTTGTTTGGTAATTTTATTTTAGCTTTTAATTTGAAGTTTTTTTTACTAATTTTTAGTTTTTTTTTCAAAAGCTATTTGATGTAGCTTTTAGCTTGTGACTTTTTTTCCCATTTATATCATTATTATTTTAACAAAAATATATTATTACTCTTATTAATTAAAATTATATTTTATATTATTTTGTATCAATAAACTAATGAATCAATTAATTTATCAAACACTAATGTTAGCTTATAAACTATCAGCAACTATAAACTATAAGTTATCAAATACTCATTCCATTCCATAATGAGTGACTCAACACACCATTTCAAACATATTAAAAAAAATTTAAAAAGGTAAAAGAGAGAATATTGTTTTTACTCTAATACCCCTAATCATGCATTGAAAATGATAAAAATTTAATTGATAAAAAAATAGAATTGAAAAAAATGTATTAGAAATTAAAATATGTCATTCATTTTGAAAAACAATTTTATTTCAAATAAATCACTCATTATAAAAAAAAAAAATATCAATTATCAACTATCGACTAGTATAGATTACTAGAGTTATCAAAACTAATTTTAAAAAATAGAGTCAAATTAATATAAATTCTGAACGATTTTCGAGAAACACAGTATGGGCAACACAAATCGTTTAAAGGAGTATTTATAATCAAGATAGTTGACAGATACCTTAGTTCTTTAATTATGTGGTTATGTTTTCAATGCTGATGTTGATGCATAACTGCCTCATAAAAAATTCTAAAAGAAACATAAAATAGGAGATCCGTTAGCCCATTGGTTTGGCCCTTCATTAGATTTTTCCCATTTGCATTCTATTTTTATTTATTTAGAAAGAGCAAATAAAGCTTGTAGTTTTATTTTATTTTTGACAAAAGAAGCAATAAGGAAAAGATATAAAATATGGTTTAATTTGTTATGGATTCAATACTTGACCTTTATGCATGATTTTCTTATTAAAAAAAGTTCTAAAATGTTTGACCTTGATGCATGATTTTCTTATAAAAAATTCTAAAAATATAAAGAGATTATTTTTCACACTTATGTATTATCTCATACACCGTTAAAAGTTTATAATCTTTTTAGAGTTCGGAGATATATCTTCATACGCATCTATTTTAGTTATTTCTCAGATAAAATTGAAGATACGCTCAATTATATACAAATTAAATTGGAGATGCATCTCCGTATACGCAAAAGTGTGTTTGGAGATGCATTTTCAGATATATTATTTATTCAAAAAATTATAGATAATTTGGAGATGCATCTTCGAAAATGAAGATGTTTGTAAATAACAAGTTAGTTATCGACCTAACCAATTATCATATATATTATGGTCGAAGTAAACACATAGAGAGAATATATCGTTTTCTTAAGAATTAAGTTAACAAAAGAAAACTTGACATAGAGTATTGCAAGTCATAACTGCAATTAATTAATATATTCATATCAAATTTCTAAATAAATTAGATTTGATGAGTTAAAAAGAAGTTTTAGGATGAGAAGTCTTGAAAACATAAATTTAAATCAATTCATTTAAATGTTAATTAATATCTTATGTAATAATAATTAATGCATATAAATAAATTGAAACATTCTATTTAGGGGTGAAAATATGTTAGGTTAAGTTATGCTTTATAAGACCCGAGTCTGATCTACGATGAATTTACAAGGTCTGAGCTTGACCTATGATCTATTATAGACTCGGTTTTTTGGTCTAACACTTTTAAAAGTCTGATGTGACCTGAAAGCCTATTTAAAAGCCCATTTCTCATTAAGGTTTTTAATAAATCCATATTACTCAAGAAACCTTATAGGTCGGCCTATATATATATATATATATATATATATATATATATATATATATATATATATATATATATATATATATATATATATATATATATATATATATATATATATATATATATATATATATATATATACCGATCTATTTAATATTTTTTATAATATATATGTATATATATATGTTAGCCTATTTAGACTTTTTCTAATATACACGTATATAAAGACCAACCTATTTAGACTTTTTCTAATATACACGTATATAAAGACCAACCTAATTAAACTATTTTGGATATATATGCATATATAGACCAACGTATTTAGATTATTTTTAATATATATAAAATATAGACTGATCTATAAGATTTCATAAGTTTTTTTAATAATCTAAATCTGATTTATTTAATTAAATATGATTTTAAAAAAGTTTAAACTTAACATTTTTAATAAATAAATCTGATTTGACCTGACCTCAAATAAACTAGACTATAAACATCTATATATCAGTCTAACCTATTCTCAGTGCTAATTCTATTCACATGATTCTATTTAATGGCATGATAAAACTAAATATTACCTAGTGTATAAATATATAATATAGTGAAAGAAATTCCATTGGGTTGAACGGTGTAATAATCGGGCTGAATTGGTTTTAGATGGGCGGGCCCGGGTAACAAAGAGTGGACCGCGGGTACCCTGACCCGCCCAAGTAACACTCCCAAACACACTAAATCCTAGCAGAGCTTTCAATTCGTCTAATTTCATCGCTCACCCTCATAATTTTTTGTCACTCACCTTCATGACGAACACCACCACCACCACCATCATGAGATCAACACAAGTGCAGAATGAGACATAAACTTCTGTTTCCCCCTTTCTCTATAGCGTTTCAGTAATTCATCTTTTAAACAAAACAACAGTTTACTTTTACAGTTTCTTTCAACCAAAATCTTTCTTGAAACCCTAGCGCTGCCGTCCCAAAATCAACTTGTCCTCTCACTCCTCTTTGCCCGTCCTGTAACCGTCTAACCTTTAACTACAATTCAGTTCTCACTCCTCCCTGCTTCTGTGAGTTTTTTTTAAGCTTCTTTTCTTCACTTCTCACTTCTCACTTCTCACTTCTACCATGATTTCAATTGTATGCTAATGGTTAAGTGAATTTAGTTACCTTTGAAAATGCAGGCATTCATATTAGCCAACACATTGAAGTTTTGTAAGTGAGATTGTTAGGATATACATCTAAAGGGAATCAGAGTAGTTAGGAGAATTAGAGCAATTCGCAAGTTTTGGTTAGTTTGTTCTGTGTCTGTTCAGCTTATTAGCAAGTCATTGAATATCCCTCAATTGGTAGATGTGTAGCATCTTTGAATTATTGAATATTTGTAAAGTTTAGTGAATTAAGTAGTGACTGTTGTGAAGGCGAAACCCTTGGAGGATTCTCTTTCTTATTTTCATAATGAAAATTTTCATTCTATTCAATTTTTAGGTTCCTAACAAAAACCAAACGATACCATAAAAAATTAGCTCCTGTGTAAATTTATGCCATTATTCTTAGTTAAATTATATTTCAAAAAAGTTAGGTGCAATATCAACAATAAATACAAGATAGAATTAGTTCGATTTGCACGTTCCCACTTTATCTGATTCTAGACGTGCTTAATACGGAGGATATGCGTATCTCATAGATGATGCCACAAATTTCTTTTAAATAGAAGTACAGAACATATGAAATGTGAGTTTTGAAAATTGAATAGTATACTTGTAACATACTCTATTTTTTACGGAATTGCATCAAATTAAAAGAATCAATTGTATACCTTTGTTACTGTGAAGTAGAGGATGGAAGATTATGGAAAATAGTTTTACAGAAATCTGATGATAAGTTTTCTTCAAATACATGCTTCTGAATACGTGAACTATGGATAGTTTTGTTGGCTTTCCAAAGCATTAGACTGTGTTTGGAGGTATATATTGTGTGGTTTCTTTTCATGACACTACTTGTTTTATAATGATTATAATATTAAAGGTTGGTGTAAGTACATGGTGTTGTAGTTGCTGGAAGACTTTAACATCCGGAACAGGAAAATAGATAGATATATAGGATATGAAATAATTAATATACTAATGCCTATAAATAAAACATATGGACTAGGAAGTTCGTTCTAATATTTACATTTACACAGTCATGTGCTATCTATAATTAAGTGAATGAATAGATTCCTGTATTAAGCAATATTTAGCGCTGCAGGATTTATTGAGCTGCTCTGTAGGGTATTTGACTAATTTTTTTACATCATTTATCTATAACTATTTGAACTTGAGAATAATTGTGATGTATTAGTATGTTGCATGAACTTTTAAATTTAAATCGAGTGTAAATTATGTTCTTAAATTTATGAGGGATTTAGATTACTTTGATTTGTGGGTGTCTATGTGGCGGGATTTTATTTGTATTTTTCATTATACATTATATGTCATGTACATCTTGTGGTTGCCTTAATGGCGGGTATAAATCTCTGAGTGGTTGCCTTAGTGACGATATATTATTTCATATTGTACTTGAAAAGTTAACCACTGGAAATTTATTGATGATAATGAACTTGCAAAACCTTCTTTGTTCTTATGTCACATCTATATATAAATCTAAATAATGTGCATGATTAAGGTTGATTTATGGTTATTAAAAATATCGTCTTCCTATTTGAGTTGATAATTATTATCATTAATTCTCTCTTAAAGAAGTATGTTAAAGAACACTGCCCATACTAGTTTTTTCTTGGTACATAACCTATTACTTCAGAACATTGCCCCTGCTATATTGATTTTTGCTTTATTGATTTGGTTTTTGATTGATAGTGTGACATGCCTATTCTTAAAACACTTTTATTCCTGCCCCTATTGTAAATAACATTGTGGCGGTCTTTTTTTGGAACATAACTTTGTTTAGTTTCACCTATTGTAAATAACATCGTGGCGGTCTATTTTCGGAACATAACTTTGTTTAGGTTCACTGAAAATTTGTTAACTTGTGAAATTCCTGACCCATTCCTTCATCTTTTTTATATGACAGTCGATAAACAACTTTTGTCACTTTTGTACAATTGTTGTTTCTTCGGTGAATTCTAGGGACTTCCCGTGAATAGATTCTCTCCTTTAGCAAGGAGAATTTCAATTTTGGTGAACATAACTTCATTCCGACGTCTAGACGGTATGTTACAACCATTTCTTGAGGTTTCTCGTAAAATTTGTACATGCATAATTTTTTCACAGATTAGTATTTACTGTTGGTAGCAATTTTGCCAATGCACAAACGGCTGGTTCATGAAATGCCTCAATAGCCAACATCATTATTCTGCTTGGAAATTGTATATGGCAACTTGTGTTGTGTTTGATGTCCAAGTTCCATAATCAACTCGCGAAAATCACTTAAGCTTTTGTTTTCGTTCTGTTTTTAGTCTACCTGCGTTGTTTTTGCGTTTTCATTTTCAGGATATTCACTGCCATTGATTTCTTAGCTTCCTTGGTGTTATGCTTTTAAAACTATTTGAATAACTAGTGTGATTGAATGAATAACAAAATACTATAGGGAATAACATGAAGATTAGTTTGGGGCTACTGAACTGATAACATGAGAAGGGAAAGGGTGATTTAGTTCATAGGATTGGGAACAGGAAATGTATCCATGTTTATCCCTAAGATTGGTGCTACTGAACTGCTTTTGTTTATATTAGGTTATGTGGTTTTTTTTTGTGCCTTTTGTAAATTTTGCTTCATTTAATTAAATGCACAAGAGGGTTGTAGAAACTACCAAGAGGGATATCACTATACTTTTTTGCACATAATCATCCCCATTTAGTATTTTCAGAATATTTTGCAGGTTCCTGTAGTCACCTATCTTATTCTGCCTCAGACCTTCATGATTGAACCTAAGAGCGACGCAAACACTAGTGTGTAGAATCATTTCAATGCTACCTAAGAGCGACGCAAACACTAGTGTGTTGAATCATTTTAATGCTAGAGGAAATTAATATAGGGGGATAATATATTGTTTTAGTAGCATCTGAAAAGAGTTCTAGATCCTTAACATCATCGGTCAATAGAGTTTTATTGTGGAGTAACATCAAACATAGTGTTTAAAAACTTATAGAAAATACTGTGGATGTGGAAGAAAATACTGTGGATGTGGAGGAGTTTCGTTGTTTTGAACTGAAGGCATAATAACGACGGTTTCTCAAGTTGGTAAGAACATACGAAAAATTGCGACACCGGATAACAACACTGTTCATCGGAGGATCATTGTCAAGCACTCACTTATACAGGTCAATGATGATAAACAAAAACATAATCGGTAATGTATTTACCTCGGGGAATGTGATGGATGTACATTATCAATTATGTTTTTGTTTGTTCTTGTTTTTTTATTATTTATTTTATTTTTATGATTTGTTTTCTATTTCGTAATAAGGAGGATAGTTAAAAAAGACAAAGCTGATAAGCTTATCATTATTGACTTGTATAAGTGAGTGTTTGACAATGATTCTCCGGCGAACATTGTGTTGTTGTCCAATGACCGCGATTTTTCGTATGCTCTTACCAATTTGAGAAACTGCCGTTACTATGTCTTCAGTTCAAAACGACGAAACTCCTCCACATCCACTGTATGTTCTTTATCTTCAGCAGACATCTAGCCAAAATATTATCTAAATTTCATACCTCTGAAGCCTCCATTAATAAAGAGAGTATGGGCTTCGTTTGAGCTATTAGTATGTTGAATCCCCTATACTTTAACTCATGCAAGGCTTCCGATAAATCGAAGTCGCCGGAAATAACTAAATAATTGGCCGCTGTTTTGTTTGTAACTGTGCTTAAGAAGAGTTTAACCATACTTATTTTATCAAAGTCTTTCTGTGCTGTAAAAAGTATAATAATAATAATAATAATCAAATTTAATATAATAAATTGAAGAGAAAATACTTCAAATGCAAATTAAAATAACGTACCAAATGATTCTTGAAATTCTAAACCGAATGTAAAGAATGTTGAGATGAACTCTAACCGTTTAAACTAGATCCCAAAACACATATATCGGGGCTTATATGTATTGCTTAAGTTCAAATTCACAAAGGAGGTTTGAGATAATAGGTGCCTTCAGTTCAAAATGACGAAACTCCTCCAAATCCACAGTATTTTTTATAAGTTTTTAAACGTTATTTGTGATGTTACTCCACAATAAAACTCTATTGGCTGATGATGTTAAAAATCTAGAAGTCTTTTCAAGTGTTACTAAAACAGTATAGTAACGACGGTTTTTCAAGTTGGTAAGAGCATACAAAAAATCACGATCATTGGATAACCACACAATGTTCGCAGGAGGATCATTGTCAAGCACCCACTTATACAGGTCAATGGTGATAAGCTTATCAATTTTGTAATTTTTAACTATCATCCCTTTTGACATTTTTGTGATTTATTTTGATTTTGTGGGATTTCAGAAGCGCACATCATACATATTTTTTTATTAAGACACTTTATTGACAAACACACGGACGTGGTCTGGTTGTAAGTTTTTGAGACTATAACCTTGAGGTCCTGGGTTCAAGCCCTTTAGCTTCAAAACTTTCCTTTTACCACTATTTTTCTTTGTTTTTTTTTAACAAACTTCAACCAATTTTTTGACCTACCAAAACTTCTCCTTTTGAGATGATTTTTTGCACACTCCTTATTTATCTACCCCATTTCATTAATATTAAAAAAATATCACAAAAATATTTATTATTTTACCATTTTCTAATTAAATTAAAATAGGTACTTTTTAGGTTTTTTTAAAGGACTTTCCTTTTATCTTTTGATTAAGTTTTCAACTTTTCTCACAAGACTTGATTTTACAATGATAAGTCTTGATTCTCATGAGATACCTTGGCACTTGAGTAAACATTTCATGATAGCTTGATCCTCCTTAGGATTTTTCTCAACTAAATTCATATTAAAACATGAAACGCGTATAAAAATCAAAAGATATGCTCCATGACTTTCATCTTGATTGTGATGTATACACTTGTTTCAAACATACCAATTCCAACCATCTTTTCATAAAGAATACAAAAAAAAATTCCAATTTCTTGTTTTCCTTATTTCTTATTTATATTCCTAGATCAATTGTAAATGATGCAACTATATGGTTTGTAATAGATAATTAGGCTTTATTGCTTTCCATCCCCATTTGTAAATTTGTATCCCCATTCCCAAAGCATTGTAATAGCGTACGATATTTAAATTCCGTAATTTATCGATTTCCTTGTTACTGTTAGTAATTAGGGTTTGTATGACAAGATTTAAAACCAACATTAGACAACCCTAATTCAAGATAAAATACATGAAAACAACACACTTTGCACACTTACACCTCTAGGGTAACCTCCCTTGTTTCCACGAATAAAAAACAGTCATGTCCCTCGAACGTGAGATGCTTTAGCAAAGACCCTTGATTAAAAGACCGTAGTCCCTCGATGATCCTTTGATGTTGCCTTTGGTAAACGATCTTAGTCCCTTACGATAATTGCTAAAGTATCTTACAAGTTGTCTTCTATGACTGTACGATGACCCATGCATGTCCCTTCACATCGATTGATATGGCTTCCTACTAACTAATGGTAGGATAACACTATCTAAAGGAGGAGGAAAATAACAAAGACTTTTTGAGTATGTAGATCGCTCGTAATTGTTTGCTCACAAACTAAAACCATTTTCACACTACATAATTTCAAAAGACAAACATCTTTTCAAAACACTCCTTTTCAAACAAATATTTTCAAAATCAACACTTTGTATGCATTCTCAGCGATACGAGAATCATTACAAAGTTTATCGAACGAAGGCGTTTTTAAAATATTTTCAAACTTACACAAAACAAAAGCATTTCAAAGTGAGCTAGCAATTAAGAGCCCGTAGATAACTACAGATGAAAAGGGTGCTAACACCTTCCCTTTTCATAACCTACCCCCTTACTCAGAAGATCTTTCCTGTTCTTTTCACCCTTTCCTTTATTGGATAAAAGAAAAGTCGGTGGCGACTCTTTCTTTCCGCAACATTTGCGATAAAATACAAAGCACTCAAGTCAGTTCTCCCACCGTATGACACCAACTATTTCTGCTTTGAAGAGAAGTTCGGTTAGAACTAGTCCATAAGGAATGTAGGATTTAGTGTAAGAGCCCCTGAAGAGGTTACAAAATCCTTCAGATGGTTGAATATAGTTTGAGGTAGATTTACTTTAACACGATTCAACAAGCAGTAGAGAAAGATCTTATCCTCATGAAATAAAAGTTTTTAGCAACACCGCATGGACAAAAGTTTGTCAAGATTAGACGAAACCTAACTTTAGCAAGGGGTAGAAGAGTTTTTGGTTTGGTGGGCTCATATCTGACAGAGGTGTCAAAGAGTGAAGGGAGTTTACTGCAAGTTGGTGGATTAACTTGTTATATGGTAATCCCAGAATATGGACAGTTGATGGCTTCAGCAATAACATAGAGAGTTATGATAATGGGAAGGCCAAAAGTAATGGAGTTAATCCAACTATCGTCACTGCTTACAGAGGCATATAGCCAAAATTTTTTAAACAGATTTGGATATATAGGACCATGAAGCAATTTATAATATCTTGACCAATCTTTAACATGCTGGCCAAGTAGCAAGTGACAGTTTCCATCTTTAAGCCGATACCACTTAAGTTACTTCTCATTGATGACTTCTAAAAGATTGATATCACCAAGGAAGGTTCGTAGAGACATGATGAAGAAAGGTGGAAGATGTGTTTAGACACTAAGAGATGTTAAAGAAACGGGTGAGAGGTATATAAAATAGATGAAGGAGGAAACAAGACTGACCATACTAATGACATAGGCCAATAGGAGTATCACACATAAGATATGTCAAGGACATAATGACAAGACATGACAAAAATAATTACGGACATAGGGTAAAGAAAGTAGATTTTTATATATTCCCAAGAATATTATGTCTCTCAATATGTCACCAAAAGTACAAGGTGATTCAGAAACGACAACAGTCTTTTATCCAAACAATAATCCTTTTACCTTTTTAGTAACTAGTTTGATAAAGTAGGCTCTTTTGTATTCATAGAGATAATCCATTCGAAGAATAGATGACTCATGAGTACATCTGATTCATGAAGACTTCACTTAATCAAAAGTCACATATTTTAGAAGCCTACATCTTAAACCTTAGAAGCCCATATTGCATTTAGTGCTTCAACATTTTGAACTAACACCTTTTTTCATTTTGGACATGAAACCATGTTTAAATGTTTTAGAATGAAAATAAGTCTATCTTCAGCAAGGGGTTTTATAAATATGTCAACCCACTGATGATCAGTGTCAACAAATTTTAAAGAAAAAAACACCCCTTCTGGACATAGTCTCTAATGAAATGATGTTTGATTTCAATGTGTTTAGCCCTAGAATGTAAGATAAGATTCTTAGATAAACAAATGGAAGAAGTATTATCACAAAAATAGGAATATTACTTTCATATAATTGATAATCCTCTAACTGACTTTTCATCCAGAGAATTTGAGTGTTGCAACTTGCTGCATAGATATATTCAGCTTATGCGATTGAAAGTGAAATTGTTGATTGCCTCTTGCTGGACCATGATCTGACTCAGATCAGACTCATACCAAGCTCCCGAAAAGGTATTTGTCAACAGAGAAAAAAACTTCCCCGCACACACAGTTGTAGATGATATTTCGTTCGCAAGATGTTAGAACATTTGATCTGACATCTTTCTTCTTCAACTTTTAGCACAACGGAATTCTTCATACTATTCCAGACTTGGTGAGATACTGGACTTCACACTTCATCATGGTCCTTCCCTCCGACGTAGGAATCCAATAGTGATCAGCAATAATC